TTTTTGTTCTTTTGCTTTTGTTGAGCACCAGATCTATTTAGACTTAATCCTATGCCCACCTCCCCAAAACTCTACGCTATATGTCTTGCGTAGAAAAAAACAAGCTGGCACAAAACAGGACATCAGTGGCCTGATAATCCAACAGGTTTGACCCTTGTGTCCTTATGACCTTTATAAAAGTGTGATGCACATGTACCTAGGAGTCACTGTTATGGATTTTAATAGCATCTATGTAGCTTCCCCTCAATGGCCTCTTGTGACGGAGTGAGCTGCACTATAGTTCGTTTGGAAAGTGTGATTCTTGCTGTGTTTACCACACTTGTGAACTTTTTAAAAACTCCTTTGTCGCCTGTGTTGTTGTTGTTTTTATTTTGTTTATTTATTTTTAATAAGGGTGACTGAGGTTGCAGAGAAATTAATGTGTGCTGAGTCTGCATAGCAACTTAAGTAGGGTTGCCACAATACACTTCCCCTCCCCCAAGACTTTATATGAAATCAGAGTTAAACCATTTTGTTGCCTTACGGGCTATTGTCAAACTTATTATAGTGATGCTGTCAAATTGCTTAGCTAGTGTTAATAATCATAGAGTACTCGCAGGAAATAATGCCACTAAGAGGCAAGTAGTTCAGGGCGAATTAAGGTAATAAAAATCACTCGCAGGTGACTTGGAAAATAAATACTGCAATTTTCCAAATGGAATAATTGAGCGTACTCATTTAGAGCTGCTTTAAAGTCTACATCAGTAATCCTGGGCCTTTCAAAGATGGTCCTAGCATTAAGCCTAACATCCTCAAGCAACATTAAATAAAGACTTCTGCTTTAACTGGGCTGCAACGCTTCAGAGCAAGGCGCTGCATTGGGCCTGGGAGCTGCTAGTCGCTCCGTTCCACCTAGCTATTGTGGCAACCCTATGCACATAACCACAACTAAATTGAGTTTGGTTTAGTTCCGAGTACGGATTTGGCAGGCGCTGCCTCGCGGGCCCCCGCTGACTCGCTCTCCCCTCTTTCAACAGGATCCCTGCTCACTATGTCTATCCGCAGGCTTTTGTGCAGCCCGGAGTGGTGATTCCGCACGTGCAGCCCGCGGCAGCCGCTGCGTCCACGACGCCCTACATCGACTACACGGGAGCCGCCGCGTACGCGCAGTACTCGGCCGCGGCGGCCGCCTACGAGCAGTACCCGTACGCGGCGTCGCCGGCCGCCGCCGCGGGCTACGTGGCGGCGGGCGGCTACGGCTACGCCGTGCAGCAGCCCATCGCGGCGGCGGCGCCCGGCACGGCTGCCGCCGCTGCCGCCGCCGCCGCCGCCGCCTTTGGGCAGTACCAGCCCCAGCAGCTGCAGACGGACCGCATGCAATAGCAGACGGACTCGCTGAGGAAGCCCTTTCTCTCTCTCCCTTTTTTCAGCCTTCCAGTGTAGGTAGTTAATAAGAGACAATTGATGTTAACTAAGGAGCTTTAAGGAAAGCGATGCGATTGCGAAACTAAAGATTTTTATTCCACTGTCTTCATACAGTCTGCATCCAAACCATGTTGTTAGAGGGGAGGGGTAGCGTGGGAGGTTTAGTTTCAAGTATTAATCTGAAAGAAAACGGGGGAAAAAAAATATTGTACTGCCATGCGGGAGTGGCGGGAGTAGCAATGAGACTTTGTATTTAAAACAAAAGCAACAAAGACGCAAAACAAGCCAAGGTGTATTTTTTACAGTATCAGGGAAACAAAACTGCCTTTATAAGTAAGACAAATGGTGTTTGAAAAGTTGGAACTAGGGGGGAAAGAAAAACCAAACAAACCAACCCCCCAACCACCTGAGTCAGCAATACGTAATCTTTCTCCATCTGAAGAGGAACTCAAGGCACCGGCTGCCCTGTGTAGCTTTCCGTGAGGCCTCGGCGAGGTGCCTCGGGGAGGCCCTGCCTCCTCGCGTGGCGCGGAGGCGCATGGAGCAGGCGGAGCAGCGAGGCCGGCCAGTAAGATGGCGCCCGGGCACCCAAGTTATTTTCCGCCGTGTGCTCCGGCCGAGCGGAGCCGTGGAGCGGGTGAGGTGGAAGGAGCGGGTGCAGCAGCTGTAGCGACAATCGGTAACACAGAGCGTTCTGGAAAGAACACATCACTCGCGCTCATGTGATGAGCTTGTCACATCCTAATCCCTCGCCCCGTGCTGTTTCACTTTTGGGAAACTTGAACTGCTGCTGTCAGCTCTTCTGATTCTAAAATAGGATCAGCCCTTTACTACAACAGCCTTCTCTATTTATTGCTATTCAGAACTTGTCAATAAAGGCAGGAAGAAGCTTGATGAATTTAAACCTTTAAGAACTGTTTTAAGGGAATTTCCTCTTTTTTCCTCTTTTGTTTTTTTTGGAAACCATTTGTACAATTTTAATATCTATTTCAGGACTATATTTAAAATATTTATTAGCAAACATACAGTACAGGAGGCAACTTTTGTTACCAAGACTGCAGTTCTTCAAGGGTTAATGGTATGTGATTTATACTGTGCCTTAATTGTAATGCTATTTAAAAAGAAATATTTATTTTGAAAGTTTTACTATGCTGCGCTCTAAAGAAAGCAACTTTAGATGTGACACTGTAAAATTATGTATTCATCTCATGGCATAAATTATTCAGTAGGTTTAGATGTAGCATATTAAATATTAACCTAATTAACTAAGGATGTTGACTTGGATTTATTTAAATTCCGTATGTGCACTGTATGAGGGTACTCTTAAATTAACACCTTTTTAGGGTTTTACATAAAATATTGCTACTTCATTCTTTTCCCTCTCATAGTTTTTCATGTAGACCTCTCCAATACATTAGTGCATTTCTCTCACTCATCCGTACGTAGACTATTTTTCCCTTTGCTAGAAAATGCTGCTTTACATTGTCCTGTGAAAATACAGTACTTGCAATTTTTATTCTTGACCGAAATGGAATTTAATATTTTACACTGTATTGGATTTTTTTATACTTGAACAATTTCATACAAGGGAAGACAGGATAGCATTTTTATGGACTTTATCCAATGTCACTGGATTTATTTTAAGTATTCTGAATACTAGCCAGTGTTATAAGGTAAACATGACTCTCCTGTGCATATTATTTATTCAGTATGTATACTGCTTTACAACATTTCAGATCTCTTAATCTATTCACTTGTATTAAATAAAATAAAAAATGTTGTCGCATCTGGTCTGCTGATGTTTTTGCTCAGGTGGGCTAAGATCTTACCAAGATAAAACCAGGGGGCTATTTCTTTGTAATATTCCTGGTCTGTGGGGTGAGCAGCAGCATACGCAATGGCTTTCAATATGTAGACTGAGGTAAACTGTATTGAATAGAGAAAATGCAACAGAGAAGAGAGAAATGATCTGCCCTGAGAGTCATCTTGAAATAATTTGGATTGGAAGGGAGTGTGGGAGGTCAGCTGATCCTGTCCAGGTTGCCCCAGCTTTGTCCACTTGGGTATTGAAAAATGGCCCCTGGAGAATACCTAATCTCTCTGGGCAGCTGATTCCACTGCCTGAACATCTCCATAGTGTCAAATTATTTCTCTACATGCAGCCAGAGCCTCCCTTGTTCGTTTACGTCATTCGTCTTCATTCCTTAGGAAAGAGCCCGGCTCCATCGTTTCAGTAACCTGCCCTTTAGGTACTGGGACAGGCTGCTCTCTGCTGCCAACTGAGCAAACCGGGGCCCTTTGTCTCTCCTCCCAGCTGCCTTGGTGCCCTCCAAAAGAATAAGTCAACAACTGTCACGTACTGGGAGACTCAAAACCGGACACACAGTTCCAGATGGGATCTAATGGGTGCCAAGTAAAGGGGAATGACCAATGCCCTTGTATTAACAGCAGCATGGATGGTGGAGGAGCCCAATGTGTCTTTGCTTCTTAGCACATCTGAAGGTCTGCTGTGTCATGCTCTGGGCTATATTGCTGCAGGGGGCTAGGCATCCCATGGGCAGGACTCTCCTTGCTGAATTTCATGAGGTTGCTGTTGGTCAAGTCTCCTAGCAAGTGGAAGTCCCTCTGAAAGGCGGGCCTGCTCACGGGTACAGCAACTGTGCTCCTTGGTTAGTAACATGAGCCACAGACCTCATGAGGATCATCCTGTCCCCTCCTCCAGTTCATTGATACAGACATCAGGCAGGACAGGCTGCTGAGGAATCCTACCAGTAACCGGCCTCTTCCAGGTGTGGTAGGAGCTATTAGCAATAACCATGTCAGCCAGCAGCCAAGACAGTTTTGTACCCATCTAGACTGTAAGGTCCCAAACTTAGATATATGGATTCTGGGGGACACTACACTAAACCCCTTAATAAAGGTAAGCTAGATATTCTCTGCTTCATCCATTCATCCACAGATTTAGTAATTTCATCGGCTGGAAATAAGGTTGGTCAGGTATGATTTATTTTCAGTAAATCCATGCTGGCTCTTCCCAGTCTCTACCTTTTCCTTCAGGCACCTAGTTGCATGATTTTTCCAGCGACAGAAGTGAGGTCTATGGTTGCCTAGATTGCCTTTCTTGCCCTTTCTGCAGATGGGTGCATCACTTGTCTTTCTCTAGTCATGACAGGGCTCTCTTCATCTGTTGACCTTTCACAGATGATAGAGAGCAGCCTAACAACCACAAGAACCAGCTCTCTTAGCACCCTTGGAAGCAACCCCATCTGGTCCCGTGAACTAGTGCGAGTCCAAAAAAGATCCCTGAATCAATCCTCTTCTACACCTGGTAGTTTTGTCCTCCTTGAACCCTTCCTATAGGTACCAAGACTTGTTACTAAAGACCTAAATATTTTATTGTACTTTTGCATATTGTATTTGGATAGGGAAGCACTAAAGTAACAGCTCGGATCTAGTTGATGCTGGATTTGTAATCTCATTTCAATATTAGTTTAAGCTTCTAATGGCCAAACGTGGTTTAAGCCTCTAATGGCCATTGCTGTCTTACATGTGAAAGAGGCCTGTGTGAACTGCACGGCAGTCCTGGTCAATTGTTTGGGAAGGGAGAGAGGTTCAAATAATCTACATACCCAAAATCATTACTGTTTCTCTTACTCCTATAGCAGCTTCAGCAGAGACACAGACTTGCCTGTAGAGTTTCAGTTATTCTTTCAGCCATACAAGAGGTTGCTCTCTCCCTCTGAACTGCTTTGACTGGGGTGGCAAGTTCACGCTGCCTTCAAGCCTCGGTTTGAGGGCAGAAGTGGGGATTGAAGTGATAGAAAAGACTTGCTGGTCTTTGGGAAAGACGTCATTTCACCATGATTATGGGACCTAGCTGCCCAGAACTGGCACACTCACTAACATCCTGGGCCGATGATGTCCTGTTCTTTTCTTAATAAGTGCTCAGGATCTGTTTTCTGGGAAGTTTTGCTGAACTGCCTCTTGCAGTCTGACCTTAAGATCTGTGATCTTGTAGACTGCAATGTCTTGTTCTTGGTGCTCAGAAGCATGTAAACATCCAGCAGGGAGGTGAGCACAAATCTCTTGAACAATTGCTGTTTTCTGCTCTCTTGCCCCATTCCACAACCTCAGGCTCTGCACTGAGGGTCTACTAGGATTGCCTGGGACGTGAAGGGGAGTCCCCACTGCCGTGGAGGGGGGCTGTGTTGTGGAAAGCCTCAGCAGGAACAGAATAAAAGTTTACGGCTCTTCACATAAAGGTCAAGTTCAGGGTAGCTCTGTAACATGACGGCTTAAATCACCTCAGCAAAAATGCAAGTGCGCAAGATTCACTTAGTGGCAACTTCAATGTTAACTTTTATTCTTGCTAAGTGAAGAGCTCAACAGCACTTCACATATATGAATGCAAAGGATTCATATTACCAGGATCAAAAAATTATAACAGAGAAATAGCAGCACTTAATTGTGAAATGGGTGAATTCTCAGCAGAAATGTTAGTGTTTTGCTGGAGAAATGGCCTAGATGTCGGGAGCAAGAAGCTGCACACAGTACTTCCTCGTATTGGTAATAAAATACACTTTGGGCAAAGTCTAACTATGAAAAGCTCACATCCATGGGAAATTTCTTTAGGAAAAGTCTGTAAGTGAATGAAAACTGATGGAATTTGGGCTTGCAGTTTTCACCAAAGCATATACCAAAGAGAGTGTAGTACAGTAGCAGGAATGGGACAATGTAGAAAAAGAAAAAACATTTATCATTAGATCACATTTAATGCTACTACAGAAAGTATATATGACAGCCTATAGGCTGTATTATGAGTGCTGGAAGTTTACGTTCAGCTTTTCCAAATATATCCCTGAAAACAATAGGAAAATGCTTTTTAAGTAGCTTATCACTATCAAAATACCATATTTTGGGGAATAAAGATACCATGAAACAGATTCATTGTACTTTTACATGCTACATTTATTAAAACTGACAAAACATCTTATAACTAATGATATTTAAGGTTTATGAAAAGATTTTTTTTTCCAGCATTGCAGAAAAAAAGACTTGAGGCAAAGCTGAATTTCACTATCTTGAGAAAAATCTTCTGTTTATTTATCCTTATTTGTAGCAATGATGACAAAACTAAGATAAAGCTTAGAAAACCCTGAAGAAAACAAAATTCCATCCTCCTAACATTTTACATAAAAAATAACCTTTTTTATTTCGATCATTTAAAAATGTTTTGAAATCGTCATCGATTGCTTAAAAACAAAATGTCCTTGCACTTGGAAAATTTCAAAATAGAGTGTTCTGATTTTTTTCCTGATATAAATCATTACGAGGGAAGAACCTCCAGAAAACCAGAACTTCAGTGTATTTCCCCGTTGCTTCAAAGAGCAGACAAGGCACTTGCTCAAGGCTGTGGCTGCCGGACCGCTGCCAAGAATCGGGATTCCCCAGCTATTTGCCCAGACTGCTGGGATTTCTCTCCTAATTTGGTCACTAGCAATATTTCTGAATGGAGACAGCTAAGGTCTAGGGGCTAATCTTGTCCTTGCAAGAAGGCGAGCCTTTTAGATGGGCTTTCTTCAGCAAGGATATTCAAATCATCTCATCTATGTTATCTAGGTAAATGAGCAAGGGCAAGAGAAACAATACAGGCATAACTGAGTTGAAACAAAAGCCTTTTTTAAAGGTATGTCCAAAACACTTTTAAAGGAGGGTCGGTCTTCATTGTAAAATAATTTCTTCAGAGCATGGGGAATGAAGGACTCAAAGTGCTGTTCTCTTCCTAGCATTGAACCAATATACTGGTGTGATGAGCAATGCTGGTGTGACGAGCAATGCTCACAACTTCTTTTTCGAGATTTTGTAATGGAGTAGTGAGCATTCCTTGCCTTGAACATATTAACGTGAACACTATTTAAGGAAAATGTGGTCTTGTTACAACAAGCATTTGATGTCACAGGGTAGAAGTTTAAGCACCATTCTTTCTTCACACTCATCAATATTGCCTTTTTTTCTACTAGTGAACTGCTTTATCAAATAAAGATACTCTTCCCCCAATGTCTGTAAAGTGCATCTTTTCAGTAACCCGAGTGCCTTCATAATTTAAACTGTTATTCATGTAAGAGAAAGTTCAAAGATCTCCAGGCATTACTCTTCCGCAAATGTCACCAGTGCCACTTACACTACTCTACCTCGAAGCAGGCTTTCCTGTGACCTTATCAAGACCAGCAATTTCTCTGCCCGCCCTAACAACACCTGGGCCCTTGCCAAAAGGAATCAGAATCGGCTGTAAAGTATCGGGAGCAGCGGCCAAGGGTGGCAGGAGAAGAATGTCCTTGGCCGCAGGGCGCTGCTGTCAAACGGGCGCCGCGGCAGGAGACTTCCCCATGCAAGGGTTTTGCTTTAGCTCCCCGGAGGTAAGCGTCACGCAAAGCGGTGTGACTTTCTAGGCAGGAGAAGCTTCGTGCTGACGGGAGCTTCAGAGACTCAGGCCGCTTCAGAGGTCTCGTATCCTGCCTTCGCTCCAGCGCAAACCGTCTGCAGCAGCCTCGTCCAAGCACTTGGACTCCTGCGAGGGTAGCGACACTTGCCAGCAGTTC